TCCCATCCATGTATTTATTTATGCATTCGTTGATTCAATTATTTATTTATATCAACATGTATTCATGGATAACTATATTATATATTGGGTTGCAATCCGACAGAATCTTTTTTGAAGACAACTTTAGGCAAGCCACCTTCTGCAGGTCCATTTGACCCAGGAGAAATCTCACCCATTTTTGCCTCAGCAAGCCCTGGAAATCTAGGCTGTTCTAACACAGCCTGTGCCTTTGCTTAGAACTCTCTAGAAAGCCTAATACATTTAGATTTTCCAGACCTGAGTCAGAGCATCAATTCCTACCTCCTCCAAACTCCAGGGCACAGCTGTCAGATAGATTTGTTGTTGTTGTTGTTGTTTGTTTTTTGTTTTTGAGACGGAGTCTTGCTCTGTCACCCAGGCTGGAGTGCAGTGGCGCGATCTCGGCTCACTGCAAGCTCCATCTCCCGGGTTCATGCCATTCTCCTGCCTCAGCCTCCTGAGTAGCTGGGACTACACACCCCCGCCACCACACTCGGCTAATTTTTTTGTATTTTTAGTAGAGACGGGGTTTCACCATATTAGCCAGGATGGTCTTGATCTCCTGACCTCGTGATTCACCTGCCTCGGCCTCCCAAAGTGCTGGGATTACAGGGTTGAGCCATCATGCCCGGCCCAGATGGGTTTTTTGAAAACTGACTATTCTTTGTCTCTTGGCCAAGGTACTCTGCTGATTCTCTTTAAAGTAGTCCTTACTGTGGGCCGCTCTGATCCATTCCCTAACCTAACTAAAACAACTCTGAGGGGGATAGTGAGTTAAGTTACAAAGCCAGCTTTACATGCTCTTAGCCTCTTCTGCATAAGTGGTCTGCCACCTATTTCTCTCCAAATTTGTGGCCTCTTCCCTGGAATCTATAGGGACAGTCATATTTAGTATCTTGTTATACTGTCATAATTTAATTGTTCCTCAAATTATGTTCCTGATCCAGCAGCATCAGAATCAGCCAGGGAGGTGGAAATGCAAACTCTCAGGTCATACCCCAGAACCACTGATTCAGAAACCCAGGGGCTGGGGTCCAGCAATCTGTCTTTTAACAAGTCCTGCACCTGCTTGTGCTGCAAACTGAAGTTTAAGGGCTACTGCACAGTTAGCAGCTTGCGTGTTCTCTCCTCACAACTTAGCTACAAGCTCTTTTGGAACCACCAAATAGCCTAGTGCCTGACTTGACACAGGGTAGGGGCTCAAACAATGAATTGAAGTTGCATCCTCTATTGTTCACTGCTACTGAAATTGAAACCTGTTATTACCAAAGGGAAGTATGAGTTCTTGCTGTTAGGTGCCCTAGGTGCCTCCCCATTCCTGATGAGCTCCTTCAATACTGTTAGCACATTTTATTAAAATCTTTCTAGTGAAAATGTTTGGAGCATGCCATCTGTTTCCTGTCAGAACCTTGATAAATACAATGTCCCAATAGTATATTTATTTCCATGAAGGACCACAAAAAAGAATGCTATTTCAAAGGAGAAAATTGCTAATGGTGCACGTTTAGGCTTTGGTTAATTGAGGGTGAATAACTTCCCGACATTCTTCTAAAGATATAGATGTGTTTGTTTTCTACATTATATATGCCAAAACTGTGCTAATAGCTTATTATAAATAGTTTATGTATAAATGTTTATTATACATTATCTATTTAATTCTCACAATAATAACCATGAGGTTTTAATTATTTCCATCTTACTGGAAATCAAAACTCAGAACATTTACGGCCTGCATCAGCTTACAAAGCTAGGAAGTGGGAGAACCAGGACTACAGCATCTACCTCATGACAAAAATGGTGTCCTTAGCCCCTCTATAGGTCTCAAGCATTGTCCCTTTGTTCAGGTGACACTGCAAATAGATACACAGTAATGGGCTTTCTGGTCGGGCCAGTAGGGAGGCAGAGGAAGGCACACTAAAGATACCTAGAACCTGACTTCCTTGTCTGTGGATAAGGGCAGAGAACTTCAGTGGTGGCCTGACCATCTGCCACAGTAAAGAATAGAACAAGGAAAGAGAGATAAGGAGAAGTCAACATTACTGTTGTGAGTATCACAAAAAGTGTGCATTGTTTCAAGAGTTGGGCTGAAAAGACAGAATGAAACTGTACAAGTATTGATAGGTGAAGAAAAAGGACAAAAACTGATCATACTGCAACTAAATTTTAACAAAAGAGGCAATTACAAGAAACAAATACAGGGATAGCACAGGTTACCATGTGAGTGAGTGTCATGAACCTAACTTGTCAACTCCACTTGCCAGTGGCTTTCCTGGCCTCATTATCCCAAGGCAGAGGGTGGTACTCACCAGAATACAGCATGACAGCTTGTCCAGAAAAGCGGTGACAGACCGCTTTAACCATTATCACACTAATTAACCACACTTCCCTTCTTTTTGAGAACAAATGCTAACCCCTGATATGAGCATAGTAGATCTCAAATCCAAGTCTACACAGAGCAAACCAAGCTGCCCTTACCCTCCACAAGAAGTATCAATCAGAATCTGTCTTGAAAAGTGCCTTTTAGTGAATGGTTCATATAGTAGCAAATAAATAAATACCTGTTGAATGAGTAGGAATGGGAATTGTAACAAGATTGAAATATAAGGGATCACTTTCATGAACATAGAGAACAAAAATGGTAACACTGTCATCCCAGCTCTGTGCTCAATGCTGGACACATCATGGCAAATGAACCTTCCTGAAAAGTTCCTCCACACTGTAGCAGGAGGGTCAGACAGCACAGAGGTAAACTTGCAAACCAAGGTATGTACCATCGAGGAAATAAACAATTAGTGGTAGAGAATAATATGGTGGTCAAAGGCCTCTAAGGAAGAAACATTTGAGTACAAATCTTGTATTAGTCCATTTTCACACTGCCATCAAGACATTCCCCAGACTGGGTAATTTATAAAGAAAAGAGGTTTAATTGACTCACAGTTCCACATGGCTGGGAGGCTTCAGGAAACTTACAATCACGGTAAAAAGGGAAGTAGGCATATCTTACATGGTGGCAAGCAAGAGAGAGCCAGCAAGAGCAGAGAAAACTGTCTTATAAAACCATCAGATCTCATGAAAACTCACTCACCATCACGAGAACAGTATGGAGAGAAACCACCCCCATGATCCAATCACTTCCTATCTGGTCCCTCCCTTGACATGTGAGGATTATGGGGATTACAATTTGAGATGAGATTTGGGTGGGGACACAGAGTCAAATCATATCATTCTGCCCCTGGCCCCTCCCAAATCTCATGTCCTCACATTTCAAAACACACTCATGCCTTCCCAACCGTTCCCCAAAGTCTTAATTCATTCCAGCGTTAACTCAAAACTCCAAGTCCAAGGCCTCATCTGGGACAAGTCAAGTCCCTTCCACCTATGAGTCTGTAAAATAAAAAATAAGTTAGTTACTTCCAAGATACAATGAGGGTACAGGCATTGGATAAATATTCACATTCCAAATGCGAGAAATTGGCCAAAACAAAGGGTCTATAGGCCCTATGCCAGGCCAAAATCAAGCAGGGCAGTCATTAAATCTTAAAGCCCCAAAATGATCTCCTTCGACTCTATATCTCACATCCGGGGAACACTGATACAAAGAGTTGACTCTCACAGCCTTGGGCATCTCTGCCCCTGTAGCTTTGCAGAGTACAACCTCCTGCCCAGGCTGCTTTCATGGCTGGTGTCGAGTGTCTGCAGCTTTTACAGGTGCACAGTGAAAACTGTTAGTGGATCTATCATTCTGGGGTCTGAGGACAGTGACCCTCTTCTCACAGATCCACTAGGCCATGCCCCAATGGGGACTCTGTGTGGGAGCTCCAACCCCACATTTTCCTTCCACACTGCCCTAGCAGAGGTTCTCCATGAGTGCTCCACCCCTGAAGCAAACTTCTGCCTAGACATCCAGACACTTCTATACATCCCCTGAAATGTAGGCAGAGGTTCCCAAACTTCAATTCTTTACCCACAGGTCCAACACCACCTGAAAGCTGCCAAGGCTTGGAGCTTGCACCCTCTGAAGTAATGGCCTGAACTGTACCTTGGCCCCTTTTAGCCACGAGATGCAGGACACCATGTCCTGAGGCTCCACAGAGCAGTGGTCCCTGGGCCTTGCCCATAAAACCGTTTGTTCTGTCCTTCCTAGGCATCCAGGCCTGTGACAGGAGTGGCTGCCATGAGGACCTCTGACATGCCCAGGAGACATTTTCCCCATCATCTTGGCTCTTAACATTTGGATCCTCATTACTCATGCAAATTTCTGCAGCTGGCCTGAATTCCTCCCCAGAAAATGGGATTTGCTTTTCTACTACATGGTCAGGCTGCAAATTTTCCAAACTTTTACACTCTGCTTCTCTTTTAAACATGAGTTTCAATTTCAAACTATCTTGTTGTGAATGCATAAGACTGAATGTTTTCAAAATCAACCAGATAAACTCTTGAATGCTTTGGTGCTTAGAAATTTATTCTGCCGGATACCCTAAGTCATCTGTCTCAAGTTCAAAGTTCCACAGATCTCTAGTGCAGGGGCAAAATGCCACCAGTCTCTTTTCTAAAGTGTAGCAAGAGTGACCTTTGCTCCAGTTCCCAAGAAGTTTCTCATCTCCACCTGAGACCACCTCAGCTTGGACTTCATTGTACACATCTTTATCAGCATTTTGGTCAAAATTATTCAACAAGTCTCTGGGAAGTTCCAAACTCTCCCACATCCCCCTGTTTCTTCTGAGCCCTCCAAACTTTTCCAACCTCTGCCTGTTACTCAGTTCCAAAGTCCCTTCCACATTTTCAAGTGTCTTTATATACCAATTAGCTGTATTAGTCCATTCTCACACTGTTACAAACAACTGCCCCAAACTAGGTAGTTTATAAAGAAAAGAGGTTTAATTGACTCAAAGTTCTGCATGTCTGGGGAGGCCTCAGGAAACTTACAAGCATGGTGGAAGGGGAAGTAGGCACAATTTACATGGCAGCAGGTGAGAGGGGGCAAGCAAGAGCAGGGAAAATTGCTTTCTAAAACCATCAGATCTCATGAGAACTCACTCACTATCACAACAACAGCATGGGGAAAACTGCCCCCATGATGCAATCATCTCCCATCTGGTCCCTCTCTCAACATGTGGAGACTATGGGGATTACAATTTGAGATGAGATTTGGGTGGGGACATACAACCAAACGATATCAGACCTAAAGGATTACAACAAACAAACAAACAAACCTGACCGTTCAACATACAGGAGCAAAGCTTTTCGGATGGAGAGAGCAGCCAGGGCAAAGGCCATGTGGTAGGAAGGCTCTTGGTACCTTCAAGTGTGTTTGCTCAGTATAGACTGAGGAAGAAGAGAGTGCAGGGGATGAATTTGGAAAGAAGAGTCCACTGGAGACCATGCATGAGCCCTGGGGAGGCTTCAGTCTCCCAGCTCCAAGATTCTACGATTCCGTCCCAGCGTTTTGTCTCGTGAAAAAAAGAGGACAGCACATGCGTTTTCCTGTCTTTGCCGGGAATCAGTTTCTGCTCTTGGCAAGCTGTCCAGAGAGCTCTCACTTGGCAGGTAGGGACTCCTTGGACTTTATAAATGAGAAGCCTATAGTCAAGAATTTCCAAATATGATTAAAATGGAACTGCCATTGAAATCAGGCTTGGCTGCCTGTCTCTCTGGTACTCAGAAAGAAGAGCCCCTCCTGGACCTGGCAGGCAAACTCAGCGACACTGTTGGACTAGATTTAGGAAGGGTTGCCAGGTAGAAAGGAGATTTCAATCACTGTGCAGCCAAATTAGTAATTAGAGCCACTGGGTGCTGGGGACGCACCATGAAAAACCCTATGACCTCTGGATAGTTGAAGTCATTGAGATAAATGAGCTTCGAGGCCAGGGCTTCGTTTTAGAGAACGCGCATACTTTATGATTAACTCCAGATGACCCCAGTGCCCAGAGACTGACCAAGTGTCGTTAATTGAAATCAGAAAATGCTAACTGGTCAATAGTTTCTTTTGGCCAGTTCAGCTGTCAAACAGTTCAAAAAAGGGAAGGGTTGGCGCCGAATATCCTATATCAGCAGAGAAGTACAGATGAAATACATTTCCCTGGATGGTTTCAGTCTGAATCCAAGTCCAGCAGACCAAATCTCTACAGTTTCCTTTCTCACTGGTGAGTTATGCCATGGAAGAGATGGTTCCAGAATGAAAACCAAAGGTAATGCTTTAAGTAAACGGACTGTACCTGCTTGTGGGAGCAATGGTGATCACAGGCACCAGGGCCGCAGCACACCTCCTCTGTGGCTTGTTTTAATTGAAACTGATGGAGCTGTGGAGCTGACTGGGTTTTGCATAAATCATCATCGGTAATACTCTTTCAAGGGTAATCACAACATTAATATACCAAGCAGGAAGTGAAATAATTAAAATTTAGCACATTGCAGTATTGAAGTTTCTAAAATTAATCTAAAGCACCTTTTCTCAGTACAAACGAGCCATTGCTTCAATCCACAGAAATTTGTGCTACAATCACTAGACCATCAGCAACAAAGAGGTTCCACTTTTCTTTCTACACTACAAATCATCTGCTTATATTTCAATCCCTTTCTTCTCTGGTGGTGCTAGACTTTTTTATCTTTTTTCGTTTTACCTGCCTCTAGCTAAATATGTGCCATAAGGTCTTGTAAAATAGAAACCCTATAAATCTGGGGATATTGGAAAGAAAATCCTTCTCACATTACCCTTAGGAAGACAACTCCAGCTCAGAGAGTAAATACGGATATGTAGAGTGGCAAGAAACCTGTGGTGATGAGCATCTCATTTCAATATATCTGTACAGAAGGCAATAAAATACCCAGGCTGGGTTTCTATGGTGAGCCACAGGGGTAAGATATTCAGTGGCACTAAACAGCTCACTTACCTTGATGAAGTAAGTATCTTTCATCCTTGGTGTCTTACAAAAGATAATAAGCAAAAAAAAAAGCTCCCTGTTGTAATACATAATCTCACACTTAGACAGCTTAAAACAGCACTATTTTGCAGAGAACTGCACCCTAATGTCATCACAGTGGAAATACCTTGACCTGGAAGCACTAACATAGTGATTGTGGTGCTTCCTCTTACCAAGACATTAAATAGGAGCTCCTGTTTAATGGGCAAGGTCCTCAATACCCAGATGGCATTCCAGCTAACAGCCAACCTGCCCCAAACTGTAAAGTTGGCAAAGCCTGGCTTTCGTGGCTCCTAATGCAACTTGGTATTGCTTCTTTTTTCCTCAATTTCACGTCTTCTGTAGGAAGGTAGGAATTTTCCAGTGTCTGGAGAGAAAAGACAGTAATGAGCCCCTGTTGCCCTTGAAAGAGTTACTTGATCAGGCAATTTTGCCTAGACTGAATCGGAGAGAGGGACCCCAAAGTCGAATTTTTCATAGTGGTATTCCAGACATTTTGGAAGGGGAATTAGCAGTGAGAGACCGAGTAGTGCCCCAATGTCTCTTATATCATGTTATTCAAATCATACTTCCATGCTGCCTATATGTAAAGCCAGTTCTGATAACTCATCAGTTGAAGCAGACACTGCCATTTCCTATATTGAGAAATTTTCTAGCAGGTTTGGTCACTTTCCAGTGACGGGATATGTAAGAATAAATTAGACAGAAGTGACAATTAGAGTCAGGTTTCTGAGGATTGCCTGGCCAATAAGAACTCCCAAACAAATCATGAGTAGAAAAACTGCTTCACTTGGAAAATAGTAAGGACTCTCACCATATGATAGTGTGCTTTATTGAATGAAAATTTACTTATATATTTGAAATGAAACTCTTCATGTTAATACGAGATAGTCCAGATGTGAGCAAGTCCCATTGAAACTCCACGGACACAATCAAAGAAAAAGTGGAGGGCAGCATCTTTGATCAAAACATCAGTATCTTTAAATGTGTCTCTAAACCTTACCTGGTACATATATCAAAGCTTTCATACTCATCAAGTCAAGAAATATTGATTGAGTGCGTGCTAGGATGGAAAAAAGAGAAAGTGGGAAGCAGAAAAGAAAGAGGAAAAGCATAAGCAAAAGAAAAAGCAGGAGAAAGAGGAGGGAAAAGAAGGAAATGAAAGAAGAAGAGAAGCAAAGGAAGAAGGAGGAGGAGGACAGAAGAAGAGAAAGAAAAGATAGAGGAAGAGAAAGGAAAGGGAGATGAGACAAGGAAGATGTGGAGAAGAAAGGGAAGAAGAAGGAACAATTTTTAAAAAGTGGAAATTGCCTTCAGCTTCACTAAGCACCATTATTGTGACTGTTTTCTCTGTCACTTGTCACTTGCCTGTCACCCTGCCTTCATGTGTTGTTATTCCCTGGGCACACTTAGTTTTTCTAGAACTTTCCCTATTTAGTTCCAAAAGTAGCCAACTCTCAGAGTGGTTTTAACCAAGGGTCTAGTTACTTCCCCTCCTGGAAATGTGTGCAATGTCCTCTTTATAACTTACTGTGGTGATGCAGCAAAAGACATTTTGCTCCCAGATTTTATTTTGGTTTTGAGTGTGTTGAATTTTGATAACTTTGTCATCAAGCATAACTAAGAAAATAATGTAATTAAGGAGTACATAGCACAGGTGAAGCATAATTATTTGGACTCCCAGAAAATCAGCTCTAGAAGCAAAGCTGCAACTTGAGGGAGGATTAGTAAACCATGTGTCATCCGCCTCTGAGGTAGAGAGGCTGCCATCTGCACTGGGCGGAATCCAAGCAAACAACTAGCCAGCCAGGAAGCTAAATGCAGGAACAATGGGGATGCAACCCCAGAAACACATCTGATCCCTTGAGTAGCCAAGTTAATTCCATAAATGGTTAGAGTTGATAGGCATTCGGAGAAACATAAAAAATGAAAAGTTCAACCTGGATGGAATTGGAGACTATTATTTGAAGTGAAGTAACTCAGGAATGGAAAAAGCAAACATTATATGTTCTCACTCATAATTGGGAGCTGAGCTATGAGGATGCAAAGGCATGAGAATGATACAATGGACTTTGGGGACTCAGGGAGAAGGGTGAGATAAAAGGCTATACATTGGGTAGAGTGTACACTGCTTGGATGATGGGTACACCAAAATCTCAGAAATCACCACTAAAGAACTTATTCATGTGACCAAACACCACCTGTTTCCCAAAACCCTATTAAATTAAAAAATATATTTTTATAAAGGAGAGAAAAAAATGAATAGTTCAATATTTTCTCCTGCCAGCTGGTCTACTACTTTGACCCTCTCTCACAAGAAAATTTAAAGCATGGCCTACAATAAAATAGTAATTAGGGAAGTAAAGTTATCTGGTCAACAATGTATATAGCTCAAGAGCAGGAGCTTGCATAATACATGGCATAAAATAACTGTTCAATTAAATAAGTGTTGGGCTGTTAAGTCTAGACCAACCTGGAACTGCAATGGAGATTGACTCCGAAATAGACCTGACCCAGAGGTTACAAATGGTTCTGAGATTTTTCTCCACTAAAACCAGGGAATTTTAGAAGCTGGTTCAGAACCCCAGTTCACGGGGAACAGCCCCACAGAAGGTGAGTAGACAGAGTTGAGACAGGTAAGATCCCAGTGTGTGTTTGCCAGCAGACAGGATTAACATTTGTGTCAAAGTGTAAGTAGAAACTTGCTTCAGTTTATGCAAATTGCAGACATACAAGGAATACAGAAAAAGAACAGAGCACCGGGTGTCTTTGGGGGTGTATTTTGAAGGCTCCTTGTGTATGATGTAAATGAGTTTTCCTTTGTATTTTGATCTTTATTTCACCTAGAAACAAAAATGCCTTTTTATTTGGCTTGTTTATAATTTTTAAACTTATTTTGAAAATATTTTATAATATTTAAAACAGTATATAATATAATGAGGACTCTCTGCCTCTTGCTGCAAAAATAATTAATAATACTTGGCAGTTAATGACACTTTTCATCATTAAATCTCTTTGTAGACATTAATTAAGGGAAAGATACTTCATCTTTTTAAATTTGCTGTTATCCTGGTATCACTGCATTTCATGAATATCAGTTGCAATGAGAAGTAAAATATGTAGTATTGAAAGCACAAATCTACCAAGGCTTTGCTGGATAGGTAAAAATAAGCCTTTGTGTGCTTTCTGTTGTACTTTGTCCCTTCAATTACATTCGTAAGTAATTTTTACTCATGGCTCTATCTTAAAGTCTATTTTTTATTGTTGATTACAATTCCTGTGATATTGTATTTTAAAAACCAAATATTTTATAATGTATTTTGAATTATTCAAATGTAAAACTTCGTGAATAAAGGCACCAAAGGTACTCAAGTTTGTCAGAAAATAGTCCAATTGGCAAAGTCAGTCTAGACCCTGCTTTTCTCCCCTGGAAAGTAGAGGATTTATCAGGAGAGGGGATCCTTTCGGTCTTCCTTCTTCCTCACTTGAAAGGTACAAAATCTTGTTCATCTCCAGGGCCAGACTTAGCCTTATTTCATTGCCCTTCTTCCTTCAGAAGACTCTCCCCATTTGTTTCTGATGTCTGAAAATCTTAAGATAATCCTTATTCTACCTCCTCCTTGGCATATAAAATAGCTGCCAGCAGGCCAGGACCCTCAGCATCTTCCATTGTTTTCAGCTTCACCTGTGTTTACCTCCTTCAGTTCTGTCTTGGAGCCTCAATCCCCTCCCCTCCAGCTCAGTCCTCCACCAAAACTTGGTGCTTCCCTGGTGTTCCCCCAGTAATCAACTTGTTTTTTACATTTTTCTTTAACTTTGTCCTCCTTTCTGACTTCTTTCTCACAGGAATTCTTTAAAGTAAATGGCATGTGTTGTATGCATCCTTTCTAAGTATCATCCCATCCTTCTCTTTTTGTTGAAGGCTACTTCTTGTGCAAAAGTAGCCTTCTACAAGAATAATGCCATAGTCCATTTGCATTGCTCCAAAGGAACACCTGAGCCTGGGTAATTGATAAAGAAGACAGGCTTATTCGGCTCACAGTTCTGTTCTGCAGGCTGTACAAGAAACATGGCACCAGCATCTGCTTCTAATGAGGAGCTCAGGCTGCCCCCTCATGGTGGAAGGTGAAGCAAAGCCAGCATGTACTGAGATCACATGGTGAGAAAGGAAGCAAGGGGTTGGGGAGGTGCCAGGCTCTTTTTCACAACAGGCACTGGCAGGAACAAATAGAGCAAGAACTGACTCATTATGGTGAGGATGACACCACACCATTCATAAGGCTTCTACTCCCATGACCCAGATACCTCTCATTAGGCCCCACCTCCAACACTGGGGATCAAATGTCAACATGACGTTAGGAGGGTCAAATATGCAAACTATAGCAACTAGCCTACATCGTTGTCTGCATTTTCACTTCTCCCAGCCCTCATAACTTTGTGAACTATGACCTTGCCATCCTGCCAAGAAAACTAGTGATCAACTCAGTGTCAACTCAATGGGTGCCTTCCACTCAACGTCTCTTTCCTGGGCTTCTTCAATATTGCCCTTTGCTGGTCCTCCCCATACCTGTAGAATGTTCCTTTTGAGTGTTTTTCTCATCTCACTGAATGTTAGTGTTTCCAATCATTCTTCTTTGTGAGTTCTAACTGCCTTCTATCTTTCTGGGGAACTTCATTTATCTTAGGTATCAACCAACGTCCTACAACCACAGGTTGAACATGTTATACTCCATGAGGCTCTATCTTTCACACCCTGTTTCTTCTGCCTGTGTTGTCATTCATTCCTAGACAGTCTAAAGAATTTCTTATCAATCTTCAAGACTCAGGTCAAGGAGAATTCTCAAATGCCCTTTCTTCTTTTCTACTCTTCCCCCAACCCACCCCTAAGAGAATGAGTTACTCTCTCCTCGTACTCTCATGACATCTTATATGTATTTTTATGTATGTGTGGATGAGTGTGTGTGTGTGTGTTTTATTTATCGATATCTCAAGATTTCTTAGGGGAAGGGACTCCAGCTAGGTGATCTTTGCATTCCAAGCACATAGAAGAGTCAAACCAAGAGGACTGTTTCAGATTAGAGGATGGGAGAGAATAGCAATGTGGATTCAGTTCAAGGTTACTTTTTCTTTGTTTTACTCCAAAAGCAGCTAATGAGCATTGCATAAGATATAAATCAGGGAGGGGTGCTGGGAACAAATGCAGCTCCCACTGATTCTCTTTGAAGCTTACAATAGTATGCCCAAAGTTGGTGGTATTGACAAGCCACTAAAGTGAGACATATACCATATCAGAAAACCTGAGAACTGTAGCTTTGCTGCCTTTTATAGCCACAGTCATATCAGTAGCCAGAAAAATCGTATACCGCTATATAAGAAATCAATTTTGCAACTCAAATGAGTGAGCCCCATCCAGCTTAAAGACCAAGTTCCCTAAGCTCAAAAGACTTACCACGTCAGCACTGGGTCAAACCTCCCTTATTTACACTTATGCTTTAAGGGCCTAGGAATTTTCTACTATGTCTACTTCAGAATTTCTCATGGCCAAAACAAGCCTATATGAATTTCATAAATATTTAATGAATATATTGGTGAGTAAATTACCTCTTGGTTAAAATAAAGCATTGACTGTGTAATTCACTACCCAGTCACCCACTGACAGTGGGGGCAAGACAGCTTCACTGAGTATGACTAGCAAAAATTTCTCATCACAGATTATTTGAGATGAGCAGTTATCCGAGTCAACCCAGGAGGATGAGTCACAAAGACTTGTTGAGTTCGGATAATGGAGTCCAATTGCTCTATTTCCCACTGTAATTCCGATATTATACTCTGTTTTAAACTGCTTCCCATCTAGTTGAAAAAGGTAGTAACATGAATGATGATTTATTCTGATTCCATTAAGAAACTCCTTTATGAAGGATCTGAGAATAGAGTGGATGAATGTATGTGTGTACGTACGTGTGTTATTCAGGGTTCTCTAGAGGGACAGAACTAACAGGATATATGTATATACAAAAGAGAGTTTATTAAGGAGAACTCACTCACATGATCACAAGGTCAAGTCCCACAGTAGGCCGTCTGCAAGTTGAGGAGCAAGGAAGCCAATGGTGGATCTGTCTGAGTCCCAAAACCTCAAAAGTAGGGAAGCTGTCAGTGCAGCCTTCAGTCTGTGGCCAAAGACCTGAAAGCCCCTGGCAAACCACTGATGTAAGTCCAAGTGTACAAAACTGAAGAACATGGAGTCTGATGTTCGAGGGCAGGAACCATCTAGCATGGGAGAAAGATGGAGGCTGGAAGACTCAGCAACTCTGCTCTTCCATCTTTCCCTGCCTGCTTTATCCTAGCCACACTGGCAGCTGATTAGATGATGCCCACCCAGATTGAGGGTGGGTCTGCCTGTCCCAGTCCACTGACTCAAATGTTAATCTCCTTTGGCAACACCCTCACAGACATACCTAGGAACAATACTTTGCATCCTTCAATCCAATCAAGTTGACACTCAATATTAACCATCACAGTATGCAAATTCATTCAGAGAAACTCAGTATTCATTCTGTTTCGATTGAACTTTGTATCCTAAGAACTCTATTTTCAATAGTATCACTTTGCCTATGAAATAGTAGTATATCTACAGTGAGGATTTAATAACAACTTGGCTGATTGTCTCTAAAGATACAAGAGAAATATAATTCCCTAAGTAGCAAAGGTTTCTGTGTGCCAAAAATTACAAAAGATTATTCTTTGGACTCAGGAGCTTATAAATGTGTAGATGAGGCAAAATATTATGACAACATACACAAAACATCATGAAGCATACATGAAACATTAGGAAAGAGTATATTGAATCATGTGCTCAGTTATGTGATTCAAATCAAATGCTGTAGAATAGGGATGGTATGAGAATGACATGGTCAGCACATAATTAGAGGAGCAGCAGGTCCTTTGAAGTCAGTTCTAGGTTTAAGTTCTGCCTCTGTGCATTAACTTGCACTGTAAGCAAGCTTTAAAAGACCTCTCTATGCCTCAGCTTCCTTATCAGTAGAGTTGATTCATCTATTCTATTGACTTGCCAGTTCTGCCCAGAGTTTTCTTCCATGCAGTGCTGGCATCAGAGTAGGTGAGGCAACATGAATACATAAATACTTAATTTGTTTATAATGCTTATGGTGAAATCAGAGGAAGATGCACATTCTGCCTCCCAAAGAGGTTCTTATACACTTGGGCTCATCCCAACTCCAATATGCAAAATCTATAGTCACTCCCTTCAAAATCTGCTATTTTGTCTGTCATTCAAACTCCTCCCAAACTCAAGTCTCAATCTTCCCCAGTGGTGGGTGAATGTGATAGCATGTTATTCCTTGTTGATTACTATTTGTTTTTTACTTTCAAGTGTAAAATTATGACCATGATGCATGGTCCTGTGAAGACTGGGGAAGATTTTTCCAGGATAAGAAGCAGTAAGTACAAAGCTCTGAGGCAGAAAAAAGCAGGGATATGTTCAAGAGAGAGGGAAGCGGGGCTGGTAAACCTGGGACATAGTGAGTGAGGGGGACAGTGATGGGAGATCTGATAGGCAGGCAGCAGTCAGATCACAAAGGCTACGTTAGGAGCTATGTGTTTCTTCCAAGAGTAAAGCCAAGCCATTGTAGGCTTAAGGTAGTGAGGGTGATGCGATTAGACTCATGATTCAAGGCGCATTCTCATGCTGGATCTTTATAACAGAACCAGAAAGAAAGCATGCAGACAAATCAGGAGGCTATTTCCATATTCCAAGCTGGAGATGATGGTGCTTAAACTAAAGTTGTTTGAACAAAAAGGAAGAACTTGATTAAATATGGATTTCTAACAAGCATGACAGATTTAAGGAATAGAAGAGCCAGTGTAGCTGAGGAAGTGAGAAGAATGATGGGAAGGTGAGGTCTGAGAGGTAACTTAAGAATCACATCAAAGAAGCCAATTTAAGGAACTTGCTGCCAATAATTTGGAATAATTTGTTGTCAAATCGGGGGAGGGGTAGGCGGGCAACGGGAAAGAGATAAACTAAAGATGACTCATTTCCAAGTTTGAGGTCAGAGCAAATTAGTAACTGGCATGACCATTTACTGAGATGAGGAACTCCTAGGGAAGAATCATTGTTGAAAGGTGAAATTTGGAGTTTTGTGGTAGGCATAAGATAATAATAGTAGCTACTCTGTATGATTTTTGGGCCAACTAAATGATCAAATGCAAATAAAGAGCTTCCCCCAACAACCTTGCACATAATAATAACCCAAAAATATTGATTGTTACTTTCCTTATCTACAGTATTATTCACAAGACTGTCATCATCAACACAAAAGTTCCCCAAAGGGGCAGCCTCATTTTTTCCATGACCTCCCTATCCCATCACTTGTGGACACCAACAGTGTATGACGCATTCGGTGAAAAAACAAAAAAGTGTCTGGTTGGCTTCTCTCTCATGCACATGCAATCAATTATTTTTTGAATGGAAAGGAAGTGAAGCAGAAGTAAATGAAATTTACAAAGCCCCTATGCATCTGATTTTATTTTCCGTGAAGATTAAGAGTTTTTCACAGATGGATTACATTCTTTCCATCATTAGTTAAGCCCATCTTAGGAAACATTCTATTCAGGAAAATATCTGAGAAAGGCAGTCAATTTGGTTATGCAAAGAGCTTTGCTTTATATAAAATCAGAGTATCTGTTTAAAAGAAATTACAGATGGAAGTGGAAAGTTAGAAATCTCCCATCTCCCTCCACATCTGCCCTCGTATCTGCCCCCACCACTACCTCTAGATAATAAACAATCACCCTCTCCACACATTCATATGCTGAAAAAGGAGCATCAACATAAAAAACAGTTGCCGAGCAGAACACATAGCTTTCATTTGCCCTCAGGATAAAAATGCACCAGGACACCTTCTGTGAGATGGCTGAGGGGAAGCAATTATTTAGATCCACACTTTTTATCAACATCCCTGAAGGAGAAAGCAAAATGAATAACCAGTAAATAGATGTCACTCCCAGACAATGTGCCTCTAAAAATAAAAGCTAAAAGGACAAACATCCGTCTCGAGGTTGGTCTTGGATTTTCCTGGACAGAGGGTAGGCAGAGGTGAATGTAGTTGGCCATTCTCATGAAGAGCAGGGAAGCAAGGAAAAGCTAGAGAAGTGCTGCTGCAACATTCTAAAAGCTAATGGCTCTTCAGAATACCTGCACACTGCATGAGACCTCCCAGACTTTCCCTGGATGACGGTCATTTGATCATCCATTTGGGTGTGCGGGATGAATTTTTCAGGATGATTCCAGTGCGTCTGAAATCTTAGGTCTTCATATGCTTGACACAGGCTGATCATTTATCTTCCTGCAAGAAGTCAAATTTATCATTTTTAATTGACAAGAAAAGTCTGAATTCAGTCAAAGCCAAATGTGAGAAGGACTGAGAGTCATTGAAAATGCTACTAGGAAAGGTCTGTTTCCCAAAAGGGCATTTTGCCCTTAAGGAAGCACAAATGAGGCAGGCATATTTGGGAATGTTTGTTTCTTTACACAAATGCACATTTTTTCTCTATCACCTGTGCATCATGTGAAGTGACATTTCCTCTGGTAATTGTGCATTTTCTTTCAGCAGCAGAGGAAATTTTCATGTGAAAGGCACGTAACTGTCAGCCCATGAAGTAGAGCTTTTCAGGAAGCTTAATCCTGGATGCCCAGAGCCTGAATTTGGTTCCTGAGGGTCATATGAGGGTCAACAAGAACATTTCTTGTTCTTTAGATAAGAATGCATATCCCAAGCATAGTTTTTTTTCATTAAAAAAACTAGCATGAAACTTAGAAGTTCCAAACCACAAATATCCCAACACTTAAACCTAGGGCATCAAACTAACCAGCAGCAAAAGGAAATAAGGTTGAAAACAGCCCCGGAAGGCCATTCATCCACAGCTGCACAATGATGCTCTGCAAATCACGGCAACAATAGGGCAAGAAGGGATGGAGATAATTTTCATATTTGAGATATAGGATTGAATATACGCATGTGAATACAGACAAAGATGTAGGGTTGGATACAGCAAGACACAGTGGAGATTAAGCAAAGAAAATACATTAAGAAATCTTTTTTTAATTAGAGAAAAAGTTATTCATGTTTAAGTGTTAACCTGTGTCAAGCCTTTTTCCAGGGAGCTGACGTTGCCAATCTTCTTACTTATAATCACACCAATCTGGTGCAATAAAATCTCCAGAATGCCTGCTTGTGTATTGTTCAGTTGAGAGGAATGTGTTATGCATGCTTCAGTACTGAACTACGGGTTTGTTTAAAGCTGTAAATAGTTTTATGTTCATATTATCACTTTTAAGAAGGAGAAGAAAAAGATCAAATAGGCTCCTGTCTCCAAATCCTGTCTGTGGTGATCGTCTCCCAAAGTTTTGTACACATGACTCTTCTTTGAAGTCACAGAACTTGATCCCAGGTTCCTCCTCTTCGGCAAAATGACCTGTGGCCATAAATGATATCAGGAATCTAACAAAAGAGAGACAAAAAAGACAGCCATGACATGTCCTCTAGACTCTCCCTGGCCAATGATGGTCGCTGTCTACGCTCCGATTCAGAGCCTGGGTACACGGAAGGAAATCACACAATTGCAGGATCTCACAATTTTCTCAAAGACTTTCTAGTCCACAGGGCCAGGGCCAGTGTCAGGATAGACAGAGGCAAAGATATGCATCCTTCATAAGCATGTATACCCTCTCATTGTAAATTATGGCCAAGTGAGAGTCATTCAGGGAGACATAGGGGAAAGGGACTTACATCCTTGCTCCTGTAGACCTACATGAGCTCTCTGAGGAGCAGGTGATGGGAGCTGCTGTGTTATTTTATAGCTGAAGTCACATGTCACATGTCCTTGCTCTGTCCCCTGTTAACAGCAAAGATCCTGTCAAATGCGTTCAGTAAGGGATTAGTAAACTAGAACTGACACACACAGGTCTGGACCCATAGGGTCTTTAATAGAACCCTGTAGTTCATTCATCTACCTTTAGGAAGAGCTGTAGCGACATCACCAGCATTGTTTTCTTAAAATAAGGAAAGTAGGGGTATGTGGGAGGAGGAAGAGGAGCAGAAAAGATAACTATTGGGTACTGGGCTTAATACCCGGGTGATGAAATAATCTGTATGACAAACCCGCATGATGTGTTTATCTATATAATAAACTTTCACATGTACCCCCAAACCTAAAATAAAAGTTAAAAACTATATAAATAAGGGAAATATCTTCAGGATGTGTCTGTGACTTTTAATCCATGTGTTTTCTGTTTTGTAAGAACTCATTGTGCTGAAGTCCAGCTCTGTGACACTGAAGGTCACCAGGTCCCATGCTGGCTTTGACTGAATGACTCCCCTGGGAAGTCCCTTGTTTACTGTATTTGTATTAAGCCACCAAGAACTTGAGTAACCGGTTTCCGAGGAGAACATATATCCTGAATCAGTTCCTGGACATTTGTTTTGAGGTCTTGTAAGGGAAACTGAAGGGAATTGTGTGTTGAACGGGATGGCTTAGACCTGCTCAACTTCTGAGAATTGAGGTAAATGCCTGACGTCAGCGTGATTTCTGTTTAGCACAAGTGGGAGTTTTAGTGAAACTGATCTTTGAGATAATGAATTTAAATGACTGAACTAAGGTGTCCCTTTCAAAAGTGTATATTTGAATTCATATTTTTTTTTGTGGCTGTGCACATCACTGCTAGAAGTTCGCGTTTAACTTGGGTAATATTTGCAGACTGACGGGGCAGATGGGAGCTAGCTGCCAAGTGAGAAAATCCACCTGCTTGCCAGTTGGAGCGTGATAGGAAGCAAACAACCCTGATAGAGACTCTATTTCTAGGCACACTGACAGAGCATTCAGCGAAGTGTTACCACACTTTGCTTCATCTAGATCATCAGGGCAAACCTAAAACTCTATCAGGAGAGAAACCAGACTCTTCCAAGAAGATTGAGGGAACCAGGGACGCAGAGCATCCTCCCTACTCGGGTCCCTATTGCTATGGTAAAGGAGGAGAGGAAAGACAGATAAAGTGAGGAGGCTATTCCAGAAACTAAGTGTGAAATGGGGTGGTAAGACATTGCCTTGAGGCATTGCTGACACAATCAGACATTCGAGTCTAGTCTGAAGGACATAAGACCAGGGAGACCTTGATATGCAGAGCATGCTACCTGAGCTTGGAACCCTTCCAGAGAGAGCCCCCCAAACTCTGTAGAATGTAACTAGCAAGTCAAAGCCTCCTTTGTGCCAAATATCTATGTTCCTGCTCCCTACTGCTCTACTTGCTGCTCCACAGCAAAATGTCCAAGAAAATTCGATCTTCCTCTTTGCTCTCCAGCCCTAATCCTGGCCTTCAGTTTTTTTTGTTTGTTTGTTTGTTTCTGTTTATCAAAGGAGTGGAATGCATCAGGCAAGAAAGTACTTACCTGCTACACCTTATACACTTTCTTCCTGCTTAGCTTAAACCTGTGAGTGCTGTAGCCAGTGAGGTGCATCTCATTAAATGGATGAACCTAGACTTGGGGTGTATGGCAATCCACACACAACACTGAAAAATCTGGGTATGGAACAATTGCCTGAGAAAACAGGGTAGGACAGCCTAACCCATGTGCTCATGCTTGCTCACCCAGGACTTCAAATGTCCCTGTGCCTCACTGGGCAAGCCCATGGCCAGAGTGAAGGATATGGAGAGGTGCCCCCATGGGAATGTATATCCTAGAGAGTTGTGGATGCTGGGTGCTGAGGCACCTCAAGGACTGTTTTACCCTAAGCCACAAGAGGCTGTGTCCTGGAATGCCCGGCAAAGTTCTTCCTTGAGTTTGGTCAAAAACCATGCATTCCAAGCAAGCTGCACTCGGGAAGTCAAGTGTGGTTTTATGGCACTTACCGATTTCCAGTGTGACTCATTTGTCTCAGCGACTGGACATCTGTGTCCACAGAATGGAGGGCACCCAGCCATGTGTGGGGATGTTCTGATGAAGTTTGGAATTTGTGCAACACATTTTTCATGCTCAGCTGAATTATCAGTAGAAAGCAAGATGCTGCCTAATGAACATCTCAGAAAGCACAGGATCCACTTTCCTGGGATAGTGAGTGACTAAGCATTTTCCTCTTGCCTATTATTATAGCTGAAAAGATACAGAGATGACATTGTATAAGGTGCATTAGCATCTTACTGTTGAATTGCCTTTTTATTTTAACCCTTCCAGAACCCTTCTTCTACTTTCTCATTGTGCCTTGACAACTTTCTTGTGGGCAAGGAAGTCTGGTATGATATAACTTTCAATGGAGAAAAATCACACACAGATGGGTTTAGACTTGCTTTATGGTCCCATTACTTCAGTTGGTCTGTGTATCAGAGACACCTTGGCAGAAAATTGGGACAAGTTAAGGCTAATAAATGGAATTATTACAAAGTCATGAGCAAGGGGTAGGAAGATCACAGGAGACAGTGCAAGAGGCCAGAGCTGATAAAGGCAGTTCCTGTTTCCATCCGAGGCTTGATAGGGGAAGGAAGAGGTAGCAGATACCCAAAGCGCTGACACAGAATTATGCATTTCAGTCAAGGGGTGCAACCAGCCTAAAGTAACCCTTATAAAGAACCCAGGGGAATAAATACCCAATCTAACTTTCCTCCATACCCCTTCTAGCCTGCTGTTTGTGTCCCCCTCCCCGATGGCTACTCCCATCACCACCGCCGCTGACCAAATGCAACTGAAAGCCAGAAGACAAAAAAGCCTATTAATGGAGTTCAAAGAATGGAGTCCCTGGGGAGAAATGGAGCCATTTCTAGAAAGGTAGACACTTCAAAATATAGCCTACAGAGTCAGCCTTAGAAATAGTCAGGCCTTCTGGTTGCCATTTCATCTGTCATTCATTGTTATCACCTGGATAACTAAAGACAGGCACATTATAAAGAATCCACTCCACCTTTGCTGGTGACTGAATGACAAGATTCCCTGGAGTAATCCTGGCAAAGGTGTGCTTCTTCCTTCAATTCAATGCAATTCAGAAAGCATGTTTGAGTTCTGTAAAGTGAGCTACATGGTGTTTAAATTCTTGTGAACGATGTGCCAATTAATACAATGCTGCCTTTTCTTACTATTCCCCAAAATATTTACTATACCTGATCTCATCCCCAACACACAGACGCATGCACACATACACATACACCAGGCATAGGCATACAAGTCTACACACATAAGCATGTAGGCACACAGAAGCATGTGCACACGGGCACAGGCACACAGTGGCAGTCACACACATGCACGCAGGCACATGCATGAGGGCTGGGAATGAAGCACAGCTTGTGTTTCTGGCTCAGATGTCACAAAGTTAATTTTAGTTGGAAAACTCCTTGACAGACTTCCAGGAAAATACCACTCAGAACAGCAGAGCTCATGTTAACATCTGTCTGCTGTTTTCTCAGTGACATCCAATGCCAATCTTTAAGTTTCTGATTCTCAAAGCTTTCTCTGAAATTAGTCACCTTGATGAAGCTCATGATGATATCGAAGCAGCTGTTACTAAAAGGAATTGCTACATTTTTGGTGGCGGTGGTGGTGGTCAGGAAGTAAATAAGTATATGGAAGAATAGATAGATGAGTAGATGGATGGTTGGATGGATGGATGGATGGATGAGTGCAGGGATAGTGGATTGATGAATGAGTAGAGGGATGATGGATAAATAGATGAGTGGAGAGATGATGAATTGATGGATGAGTAGAGGGATGATGGATGAATGGATGGGTGGATGGATGGGTATGTGGATAGACGGATGGGTAGATAAAAGGATGTATGGATGAGTGGAGTGAGGGATGGAGGGATGGATTAATGGGTGAATGGATGAGTGGAGGGAGGATGGATTGATGAATGAGTAGAGGGATGATGGATGGATGGTTGGATGACTGGAGGGATGGATGGATGGATAAGTGGAAAGCATGTATGGATGAGTGAGTTTGGATGGATGGATGGGTGGATGGATGGAGAGTTTTAGAAAGAAGACTTTTTTTCTGTTTTTTGAGACAGATTCTTGCTTTGTCACCCAGGCTGGAGTGCAGTGGCATGATCTCGGCTCACTGCAACCTCTGCCTCCCGGATTCCTCTTGCCTCAGCCTCCTGAGTAGCTGGGATTACAGGCATGTGCCACCACACCCAGCAATTTTTTGAATTTTTAGTAGTGACAGCATTTCACCATGTTTGTCAGGCTGGTCTCGAACTCCTAACCTCGTGATCCACCTGCCTCGGCCTCCCACAGTGCTAGGATTACAGGTGTAAGCCACCACATCCGGCCAAAGGAAGACGACGATTCTATAAGAATTAATAAGAGGGAAGAATTTACCTAACACTTGCCTCTTTACTTTTGGTGAAAAGAAGCCTGAGGCAAAGACGTGTCTGTCTATCACCACTGCATTCAGAGAAGGTATATATCATAAGAGTTCAGAACACAGGCTCTAGATTCAGAGTCTTGGATTTGAATCCTGGACTTAACAACACTTACTAGCTGTGGGACCTAATCTGTGCCTCTGCAGTGCTGTCTCTCTGCAAGGAATTGCTTATCCCACTGCATAGTTGGCTTGCTCTGCTAGTGATAACAGGAATACAATGGAAAGGACAATTACCTTAGGCCCTGAAGGGGTATCCAAGGGAGAGAATAGAGTCATTTGTTGTTAGTTTCTGTTTCTGGTTGGGCCAGTAAAGCCCCTTCCTCATCCCTCTTTTTCACTTATCACTAGAGACAGAAACTAAAAATCATGACTTCAGACTGCTAAAAGGCTAAAACAAAACAAAACAGAACAACAACAACAACAACAACAAAATAAGGCAGGTTGGACAAGCTTGCTGGTATTACAGGGATGAAGATTACCCCATAATACCCAAATATAGTTGTCTGAAAAAATTCTAAAAATGAAATCATGCCCAGGCACAAATTTCTCAGAAAAAAAATTGATATAGGAATTACAGTCAAATATTTATGACTGGATTGGTTAGAAAATAAAATAATCTTTAAAATAATTTTATCACTTATGAATTTTATATATATATATATGGAAGCAAATTGTATTTAGAACTTAGAAGTTAGAAATCCAGCAGCTCAGGCATTGCCTGACCTTGAGCAATTTCCTTAACTTCTCTAAGCCTGTTCCAGGTGGTGCAAACTGGTTATGCTTTGGCTAAAACTGTCCAGCAGATTCGATTCCTTTGGGTCACAAATTGTTTTAAGCACATGTGAACCACGATTTTAAAGTTGGGAGATTCCATCAAAGCATCTCAATTTCTAATTTTGTTGGAAAATTAAGAAGATCCAGCAACAATGGGCCCATATTCCCACACGGCACCCATTGGGTGAAACCGAGTCAGGGCTGCCCCCTGTAGACTGGGCCAGGTCTCCATAAACCCTTCCACTTTCTATGGGCTACTGCCCACTTTCTCTTCAATGTCACCTGCTGGATCTCAAAATCCTTGGAGTTGTAATCTCTGCTGTCATATATAAAAAGAAAAATAATGTCTGAGTTGAGGTTGTTATGAAAAATAAATAAAATCAAGTCAGTGAAGGGCCCAACACATGCATGACACACCATAGCAATGGAATACGAGTCATCTCCTTTCTCTCCACTGATCATGTATTCATTCAACAAATGCTAAGTGCTCACTATGTGCCAATAATGTGCTAAGTGCTAGAAATGAAAAGACAAATATGGCATGGAGCCTGCCCGTGCAAAAGTTTTGCATTCCTGTGAAGGGAGATAGACTTATAAGCAAAGACCCATCTGAGCAGGCGACTCCATCTTTCCAACCTGAGATGCTTCTTGCAGGGGATCTAAAAGAGTAAAGAGAATTTGGAGGAGTATGTAAATGATTCCTTTAAAAATACTGCTCAAGGTAATGAGGCATGCTCTAACCTGGGATAAGGGAGTCTCCTTAGCTGGTTTTCCAAATCTATTCATTTTACCAAATTAGACACGTTCTTGTAAATTTCATTTACATTTGACACTAGAATGGGCAATTACAGGTCTTACACGGCAAGATCAGGGCACCTTGAAGGAACACCTGGATCCTACTTCACTGACTGCAAAGAGATTAAAATAAAACCTTGTCACCCTAGTCAGGTGGAGGCAATGAAAAGAAAATGGAATCATAAAAGCCCAGAATATTAATTCCACCTCAGTCTTCCTTTTAATATCAAGCATCCCTGGATTTGGGTTTACAGAAATTCACATTGCTGTGTCACATAAGCTAGAATCTCCCAGAGGGGCACAGAGAGCTGTGAGGCACATTCATCATACATCAGCATTACACAATGCATGGCACAGCGTCAGTGCTGAAGTTATAAGATGCCCTGTGCTCCACTCCCTCCCCTATTTCTCTATCCTAAGGCTGACTTCCGCCTACTCATCACCATGGCTGTTATTCTTCCTTATTCTTCTCAAAATCTGCGATTTCATCATTTTACCCCTTTTCTACAGGCTTCTGAGATCAGTTTGTTCATTTGTGTAGCTGGCCCCAGTAACAAAGCTAAAACTTCTATATTCACTGGATTTCCAGAATGTGAATGTTGGATCTTAAACCTTATGCTCAAATAACATATTTTTTATTTAAAAAAATCATTGCGGCGTAGAAGAAAAAATACACGGCTTTGAGGCCAAATAGATCCAAGTCCAAATCCTTGCTCTCCCAGTTATTAACTCAGTGACAAAGGACCCAGCCTCTCTGAACAGTTTTCCCAAATGTTATAGAATTTATGGTAAAAATAAAGGATAAACTGCATGAGATCACCAGAAGTCCTAACACATAGCAGGCACTCATCAGGATACTTGTCCATCATCATAGAATAAGGTGTGATTATTGGTTTTACATGTAATAACCTCCCCTCATATGCTGCCTAATGTAAAGGCACTTGGCGAGGTGATTTCACATGTACCCCTGATCTTTACAAGAAACTATTTACTATTTGAGAAACGTTTGCTTGGGGAGATTAAGTAAGTGCTTTGTGTGAATTAACCTATTTGATTCTCATGACAGCTTATTATTATCTTTATTTGATAAATGAGAAAACTAAAGCATAAAGAGTTCAGGCAACTGGCCCCAGGTCATAGTGAGTAAGTGGTGGAAATGACATTCAGTCCCCGTCTGGTTCCAAAAGCATGATCTTAATGAGAAGGTCATTAAGAGCATAAGGTCATTCAATAGCAGATTTTGAGAAGAATGAAAGCACAGCCATGGTGATAAGTTGGCAGAAGTCAGCAAGGGAGAAGATAACCAAGCCAGGACTACCTCATCCCTAACACACTCACACACATCCCACTCCCCCCCACCCCGCGCACACATACACTCAGAACACACACATGCACACACTGGTACACAGAGTCTCCCCGGTGCTTTAGAATGGGTCTGAGTATGACTCGACCCAGGAACTGTGAGTCCCAGACCAGGTGAATCTGGGGGCATTATTGTCTAGGACCCTATAGAGCACCCCACCATGACTACCACATTAAACCTCTCTAAGACTTCGGCATAACTGACCCAAATCCTGAAATACTTCTAGAACTCAGCAGACCTCATCCATACCAACCCCTGAAATGGAAGAGCTATGTGCTGTACATATATATTTTTATCTCCCTTCTCCCAACATGCTTTATATTCATTCACAGACATCTTAGGGAAGCAAATGTTGAAATGGGAAACCCAACCTTATAAATTGTGCTGCAGTTCCACCAAACAGCCGGTCACTCATCACACATTGATAAGAAAGTCCCATGATAGTATTGAATGTCCTAGAGTCCCACTGGAATTTCACGTGGTGCAGAGATTGGGGAAATGGTCTGCCATGAGGGAGAGAAGGGACCCTGTGTGCCACAGAATTCTGAGGAGCCAGGACATATGGTAGAGGAGAGAGATGCAGCAGGGAAAGAGGACAGAAGTTGAAAACATTTCTCCTCATTGGTAATCACTCATTTCAGCAGTATTTTAACCCAAGAATGTGATCTCCTGATATAAACAGGGCAGAGTCATCTTTGTCAGGTGATTTGAGGAATAGTGAGAATGTGCACCTGGCCTGTTCCAATAGCCCATTCTCACTGGTGTTCACATGTCACAGCTAGATCATCTTGTTAGGCCCTCTGCTTTTATTTTTTGAGATGAATTTTTTTATTATTATTATTTTTTGAGATGGAGTCCTGCTCTGTCTCCCAGGCTGGAGTGCAGTGGCAGGATCTCAGCTCACTGCAACTTCTGCCTCCCAGATTCATGCAATTCTCCTGCCTCAGCCTCCCAAGTAGCTGGAACTACAGGCACATGCCACTACACCCGGCTAATTTTTGTAATTTTAGCAGAGACAGGGTTTCACCATATTGGTCAGGCTGGTCTCAAACTCCTGACCTTAGGTGATCCACCCACCTCAGCCTCCCAAAGTGCTGAGATTATAGGTGTGAGCCACCATGCCAGGCCTTAGGCCTCCTTCTTTTGCAAAAGCACTGCCTTCTTCATTGAGAGGATGGTAGTTGGAGGGATTATCATCTATGTGTAATTAAAAGGCAAAACAAGAGTCACAGAAGACATACAGCAATAGAAGATCATGCTTCTGAAAATGTCAACAAAAATTCAAAGCTGCAGCCTCATCGAAGCCCTCTCCCATCCTCACCATGCCCTGCAGCCTCTTCCCAACTCACTAGCATTGGCCCCTCCAGGTCCCCTTACTTCACACGGTTGAGATCTCAAGGGAGAATTTGGCACTTGTCCACCCTTGGATAGGCATGTCTATACAACATAGCATTTTTGTTATCTGGGAACCCTGACAGGTCTAAGAGGGGACAAAGCCTTGTGATAAGAAAATCAGGGAGATGGGGTGGATTTTCTTGAGTCAGATTGTTGCAGCCACAGTTTGCTTAGCTACCACTCTCCCTGTCTGTAGGCTAGTCTTACATGCCTGATGGCTCTAGCATGTTCCTTTGCTATTTGTTTGGGCGATTACATAAAGCAGGCAGCACTTCTGCAGTTTGGGTGGAAGCGGAGAGGAAGCTGACCCTCCTGGTCCATTCTTCCCCTAGCTCCCATTCTTCCGTGGGAACCAGCAATGCAGAATGATTTGTATAGGACATATCTGAGGCTGTCTTGAGCTACTGTTTTCACTAAAACATTACTGCAAATTCACTTGCCTGCTTAGCTTCAGGAATTGAAATGGGATGGTAGGGTAAGTGAGAAGCAGGAGACGCAAGCTCACTCACACAAGCCTGGCCTGGGAGAGGTGCCCAGGCATGGAGGGGAGCTGAGCACAGTGGTTTACATGGGGAGCACAGTAAGAAAGGGGTGCGAGGAGGTAGCAAACTGGCCGGGGCCCTGGGGACACCTCTGCACTAGAATCTAAAGAAAAAATGGTTTAATCCACCTTGGGCAGATTGTGGTTAGTAACCCAAAACTCCTCAGCCAATATATGCATGCTGAAAGTCACTGGAGTTTTGATCTCCAGCAACATTCTAAAAATTGCTTTAGTTTGTTCGTTTTGTATTGTTTTAGGAAATAAGCTATCAAGGCCTGAGAACATACGGGTTTCTTTCCTTCTTGCTCTGTAAGCCCAGCAATGTTACCGAGATCACGAAGTGACACATCATGGCACCTCCTAACTCACACTGGAGCAGCTTTCTCTAAAGCCGGCCGTCTTCCGCCAGCTCGGTGTCTGGGCATGGACACAAGGTCTTGGGGATGTGATTAATGATCAGCAGACAGTCTGCTCTTCAGGTGACTCTCTGTTCAGCCTGGGAAGGAGCTGAGGAGAGAGGTGTGAGAGTTGCCCAGGGTTGGGGGTATGATAGGGGCCAAGGTCCTCCATGGGGTGCTGCCCACCTGCCGTCTGCTCTCAGAGCCCAGAGCTGCACCAGTCACAGTGAGCTGGGTGCTGTGTGAGCTCAGGGTTGCGCTGTCTAGGGAGATTTTCATCTGCCCTCCCCACCTTCACTACTTACCCTGACTTGCTTTTGTGGACTGGGTAGGGAGGGTGTGCAGAGGCACGGGAGTAACCAGCGAGGTTAAGTCCTCTCAAGGGAGACTCCTGGGTTCAGGGAAGCCTGCAGAGGGCTCTGTCTGGAAGCCCAAACAGCCATAGGAATCTGCCCTCCCCTCTTCCACCTCAAGCCTTCTTTAGCAAAATTCTCCCCATCCCTGAAGCTCAAACTGGTCAGTGGACCACCAGCCTTGAGACCACCTGAGAGCCTGATGGAAACACAAAAGTGCAGCCCCCACCTGGACCGGCTGCATCAGGATGTGCATTTTGTAAGATCCCCATGTGATTCACACACACTTCGCACACTTTACATTTGAGAAACAGCAGCTCTAAATGATCTTCTGATATAAATGGGACAGTCATTTTTGTCTCATGAATGGAAGCAGAAACACAAACTCACCCCCACCCTGCCCCAAATTACTTTTCTCACTAGTATCAGAACATCAGTTAGAGATTCACGCTTTTAGATCATCAATCCTCTTCTAAACAGGTCTGTTTTGTACTAAAATTCAAATGTTCTAAATGGTCTATTTTGTAGTAAAATTCAAATGTTCCAGGCCAGGTGCGGTGGTTGACGCCTGTAATCCTAGCACTTTGGGAGGCCGAGGCCGGTGAATCACCTGTGATGAGTTCGAGACCAGCCTGGCTAACATGGAGAAACTCTGTCTCTACTAAAAATTCAAAAATTAGCCAGGCGTGGTGGTGCACACCTGCAATCCCAGCTACTCAGGAGGCTGAGGCAGGAGAATCACTTGAACTGGGGAGGTGGAGGTTGCAGTGAGCCGAGATCAAGCCATTGCACTGCAGCCTGGGTGACAGAGCAGGACTCCATCTCAAAAAATAATAATAATAAAAATTCATACGTTCCTCCCTCCTTGGGAGGGAGAACATATGGGATCCCTCAGTAACGAGGTTAAAATTTTTTTTTATTGAGCTCATATTAGGTGCCACATATACGAGATGCCTGGGGCAAATGTGTTTAGTGTCAATGAATTCCTTTTCCCTGGAGACAAGAAAGCCAAGTGTTAGGAGAACAGTAGCCTTCTTTTTGGGGGGAAGGATTATTCAAGGGACAGAAGAGGGAACACACAGGACAAACAAGTGTGACCTTCCACTCCATCCTGAAGAAACTTATCTCTCAGAGCTTTCCAAGTTGTTTAGATGATGCTTCCATTTCCATTCAAAATCATCCTCTGTCATTTCAACCTGACGGGAAAAGCCAGTCACATTTTGAAGACAGGATGTCTGGGTACATGTTTATTTTGAGAAGGAAACGAACCTCAGCAGATTCATTCTGCAAGAAAGAAGTGAGTCCTGGCTCTGCATACTGAATCAGTGAGCAATACCTCAAAAGTGGAAAGTTTAAACTCTCCAAAGAATGGGCAGTGGGCTCAGCTTATTTATTTTGTCCCAGGAAACAGCACGGCACCGGGTATGTCAGAACTGCAGAGGCGACACCGTAATAAACAAAATCTCTTCTCCAGGCTCTGACTCTGTTTGGGTACCCATGAATGGATAGGATCTATTTCAGTTCCTAAAATGTATGATGCAGGATGACTTGTTTGTATTTGCCTTTCATTTTCACTGTAACTGAATGAGATCATCCTTCGGGTACTAAGGTAGAATCATCTTTGTGACTTAATAATGGTAATAATCACAGAGACCAGGTCATTACTCTCTGCCAGGTATTGTGACCCATGCTTTTCAAGTTGGGAGACAATGTCCTATGGGTTACTCACATTGCTGCGAGTGATTCAAGCAGAGGCATTGACTGCCTTTGTTCTGGATTATTTTTTTCAAAATGTTTGTATATACCGAACAGCTTTGCAAGATTGATACAGTGTCTCCCTCCAAAGCTAGGAGTATGTGTACTTACTGTCCAGTACAATAAACATAATGTCTCATTCTGGAGCAACGGACAGTATGGTTACCGCCTGTTAAAAAGCATTCCGTTTTCCTAAGTTCAGCATTCTTCTGTAACAGAGCCTGTCATGTGTACAGGTCTTTCCTTGCCTTTTTGTGTTGCCCTGCGGGAACTGGGGCTTGGGGACTAGTACAAGAGAATGCTGATACTCTGGCTTCTGCTTTTGCTGTGAATAACAAAGTCCTTTGTCTCTGGCACAAGACTCTCATGCTTTCTGCCGGTGTCCTGTAACTGTGGCAGGCTAACTCATGAGATTGCAAGTGGGATTAAAATCTCAGATCCTTCCTACTTCTTGATAAAAACAATATCCCATTTTATCCTCTGAAAAACCTTAGGAAAGTACTATCATTTTCACAACATGGAATCATAGATGTTATCACTAAACTATATTGACATGACCATAGGGGGTCATAGGACTGAAATTCCATCCAGAGAGAGACCTTAGTTTCTATGAAGTATTGTCTTTTTACACTTGTTAAAATTGAAAATACTTCTGAGACAGGGATTCTTTTATTATTATTATTATTATTATTTTATTTTTTTATTTTTTGAGACGGAGTCTCACTCTGTCACCCAGGCTGGAGTGCAGTGGCGCGATCTCGGCTCACTGCAAACTCCGCCTCCCAGGTTCACGACATTCTCCTGCCTCAGCCTCCTGAGTAGCTGGGACTACAGGCGTCCGCCACCGCGCCCGGCTAATTTTTTGTATTTTTAGTAGAGATGGAGTTTCAACGTGTTAGCCAGGATGGTCTCAATCTCCTCACCTTGTGATCCGCCCGCCTCGGCCTCCCACAGTGCTGAGATTACAGGCGTGAGCCACCACGCCTGGCCCTGAGACGGGGATTCTAAGTTAGTATACTAAATTAGCACCTCCAACTCCTTAGTACGTCTTAAACATAAAAGGTGGGACTAAAAAGTAGGATGCTGGAAGGGAACAGAGGGTTACAGAAAGGAGGGATGGAAGATATACTTTTACTTACTTATTTTTGACTATGGCTGGCCCCAGCAATGCCCAATTCTCTTTATCAAGGTGAGCAGAAAGGGTTTCATTAGTCCATAGACAGGGCTCCTTTGTAGTGTGAACTGAGAAGGGAATTCATCTACCTCTTCCCAGAGACAGCTCCGTTCTTGGCCGTTCCACTGGCATGGTGCGTGTCATGATGTGTCACTTCATCTGCAACACCTGGAAGCCACAGTTCTCTGAGGTGCTGGCATAAATGGAATCTGCCAGAAGACATGACCATTAGGACTTACTATTTCAAATAGGCTGATCGGCCTAATGCTTTCCTAAAATCCAGTACAGGAACACTTCTGCACAGATGCAGGGAGGCAAGGTAATGAGGAGCTTAAACATTGGTCATATCTCTCACTTCCAGGCCATAAACATAGCGCCCAAGGTGAATGGGGAGTCAAGCCTACATTTATTTATTCATTCAAAGAACATTTAATTTCCAGAAGTGCTTTGGTACAGAGTTCAAAGATGACTGAGATTCAGACATTTATCCCACCTAAAACTTTACAATTTAACAGCAAAAATAAAACAGGTACTCCAATAATAAAATATACCCAACTAGGGAACAGATAGCATAAAATTAGATAAACTATGACCTGTCAGAACTCAGATCAGAAAGTAATCACATCAGGCTGGGGGCTCAGGACCTGGTCTTTTTTAGAGGGTGGATAGGGTTTTCAAGGGCAAGGGTGAGGAGGTGAGCCATTTTGAGACAATGTCAGCAATTGATGGGACCTGTTTGTGGGGAAAGTAAGTAGCCAGAATTGGCCGGAGCATAAAGTACAGGAAGGTTCTTAGTGAGGAACGAGGCTGGAAAGCAGGCTGGGATCAGACGGAGGAACACCATGAATGCCAGATGAAAGATTCATGGCTTTATTCCAGAAGGACCCAGGAAGCATTAAATGTAGGTTGCCCGGGGCAGGGAACATCAGCAGATGTTTCAGAAACTGAAGGCACCTGAGAAGCCAATGTTCTCATCTATAAAATCAAACCCTGGAAAGAGGCCTCAGGTCAGACATCAACGATACGCAGACTTATTATTTGCTAAACAGAAAGACAGGAGTTGTTCTTTTCAGTTGTTGAAGGGTGGTGACCAGCTTTTGTACATCATTCACTTGGAGATTACTTAGTATCTTAGCATCCAGTTTCAAATGACATTAACCAAGCATCGGTTATAGTCTTACGTGGGTTTTTTGGCCCCTTCACAGAAGAATTAACAGCACTTCAACTACCCACTATGTAACACAGAGTCAGGCACCAAGTAGATGCTCAATAAATATTTGTTTAATAAATTACATTTAATAAAGCATAAAAATAAATGGGTGTCTCCAATAAGTCAAGACCAGATGCTACCTAATGTCTGCAACAGTTATAAAAAGTTAGCAAATCTTTTCACTCTGTTTTTGGTTTAATGTCTTTGTTGAGGGCTAATTTTAACAGTATGGCTATAAATACAATTTTTTTCAGCAAATTTTTGACTACAGCATTTAATATCAGAAAGCCAAGCTCAGCTAACACTTCCATGTGCCTGAGACATCAATGCCAGACATATTGGCCTCATTTAAACAAACAATAATTAACCTAGTCACACAAATTTTAGTAAATAGAACTAAATTTAAGCAATCTGACAGTTTTCCCTTCCTGCTGTTATGCATTTTAGTGTGTATTTTTTATTTATTTAGAGAAGACCATTTATACAGACCTCCAGAACTTGATATGCAATAAGATTGCAAAGAAACATTTACACAGACCTCCAGAAATAGATATGCAATAAGATTTCATATGTGGAAATCATGGAGTCATAAACATAACTGTGAATCTGTAGAGTTCATCACATGATTAATACAGAAACGTCAAGAGTCTCATCCCTTTGAATGCTGAAACCTTCATTAACATAGTAGAACTGTTAAATCTTTGCAGACAGGTAGAAAATGTGGTTCCTCATATCCAGTCTGTTGAAATTTCAAATAGTTTAATGAACTTAAAGGAGAGCAAAGAGTCACCCTCGAGAGCTTTGAAGTTATTTCATCTGCTGTAGAGATTTAATTAATGACTTGTTTGATTTCCCCAAACTTTAAAAATTGATATTTTCACGATTGGTTCCAGCTGACCTTGTTGCCTGCAGCAGCAGCCTCCCCAGGGCTTGCCACCCAAAACACCAGCCTCGTGCTTGAGGGCTTACAGCCAGGCCAGCAAAGACTGGGGAAAACAACCAGCATCTCCTGATGTGTTGTGATGTAGCTTGGAAGGTGGGGAAATCCCTGGGCAGGCTCTGCCTTCATTTGTGGATGAATATTCCCTATGGAGGCAGAGAGGAAGGAAAAGGTAGAGCCCCTAAATAATAACTAGCAAAAATCTTCCTTACACCAGGAGAGTGTGAGTCAGGGTAGTCAGGAGACAGGACTTTTGAGCCAGAAAAATCTGGGATCAAATCTTGCTTAATGGTCAAGCACAGTGGCTAATGCCTGTAATCCCAACACCCAGGGAGGCCAGTGTGGGAGGATCACCTGAGGTCAGGAGTTCGAGACCAGTCTGGGCAACATGGAGAAACTCCTATCTACTAAAAATATTTTTTAAATTACCTGAGCATGGTGGTTCACGCCTGTAGTCCCAGCTACTCGGGAGGCTGAGGTCGGAGGATCACTTGAGCCTGGGAGGTTGAAGCTGTGGTGAGCAGAGATTGGGCCACTATACTCCAGCCTGGTCAATAGGGCAAGACTCCACCTAAAAAAAAAAAATCTTGCTTATTAGTGATGCATCCGAATGAGGAACCTCACTTCCCCAAATCCCAGTTTCTTCATCTGTGAAATGGAGAGAATGCAAAGGTATATGTGGAGGATCTTGTTCTAGAACAAACACCCCTAGTGTCAATGTTAACATACTGCTGAGAAAGAATCTGAATCCAGATGTTCATCACAGGAAATGGCAGCAAGTTCTAGCAAGAGGGCAAGTCATTGTCATAACCTGAATTATGATGGGAGAATTTAAGCAGGTTAATACAGAGAACGTAGAACTCTGTTTTCACCATCAACTCTCTATATTTATCTATTTGATGCAACTGGAAACATTTGATTGTGGAAGGAGACAAAGGGAAGACAGGGAAAGGAGAAGAAAAAAGCTGTAGGAAGGAAAAGTATAAACTGTAAATACCCACTTGTTTTTCTTCATGAGCTTCATTTTCTCTTCTTTTTAAAGATGTTTATTTCAGGTACATGCATTATATAGGTTGAAAATGTCATAAACAAGAATGTACTGCTGATTCACATGTTTTATATTCACACATCCATGCAATTATACACAGATGAATTGACAGCTCATTTAAAGTCCAGATCAGAGAAGCTTAATGCATTTTGCTGAAGCAGATACCATTTGGATTGATTTATGTTTAAGTGAAAAGAGAGTTTATTAGTAATGTTAATTTGATAATTTTAATATTTTAGTTCCATATAGCATATAAAAGGGAATGGGAAAATGAATTCAAAAAATTTCTGGAAAAATGAATTCATCGACAAAATTTATTAAATAAAAGGGAATGTTTCAACTGAGCAAAATGTAGTGTGAATTCTAATAAACAATCTTATATCTGGGGTGTTTTAAATGAAGGGGTGCCCAGGAGAACTTTTATGATTCTGTTGACATTCAGCAAACAGCCGCTCCCTGCTGGTGCTCTGTGGCTTCATACAAACATAGCAGGTGTGTGTGTGTGTGATTGTGTGGGTGTTGGAGAGAGAGGAGTTCTCCAGAGCAAGAAATGAAAAGATACTGCTGTACCAGGCAGCAAAACAACAAACGCCTACCTGCCATCCACTGACCTCTGGGCAGGCAGACTCTGGGCAAAGACCAACTTTAAAGGTTTCTGAAAAGGAATAGCTGAAGGATACTTGACTCAGGTAATTCTTAATTCAGGTGAGAAATTTCCCCAGAGGTCACTAATGTGTCTTCTGCCCAGAAAAGAAAGGAATGAGAATTGCTTTCGTTGAGAAAAAGAATCTTCAGAGGATGCACAGCTCTTTGGTACAACTGTCTGCATCTCAAGAAATACATAAGCAAGTCACCTTCGGCAGAAGAGTGAGGGGTAGTAATAAGAACCCTAAAAGGAAGATGTTCATTTCAAAGTACTCTGCAGATGTTAACTCATTTTGCATGGTTACATTCTGGAAATATAGAAAATCAGAATTTTACTTATGAAAAAAGTTCATCAAAACAATAAAAAGCCCTGCCACCCTATACCATATATATACACACACACATACATACACACACACGCCCTTATATGTGACTACATATATACAGACATATATTTATTAAAATCTATACTTTCATACTTATATATAAGTATATATGTATACATATGTATATGTGTATAGCTAGATAAATATAGCCAGAGCCTCAAGGAAGCCGAGAAGTTCCTCATTCTGGTTTCTTGTTTGTAAAATCTATTTATGTATGATTTTGCTAATAATTTGGCAATTATTAGGTAAATTTGACCAATATGAATGACCAACCTAATAATCCATGTCACAAAAAACATTCTAAAGTTTGAATGATCTGTATTTCTGCCCACATTTATTTTTGAATATTGAGTTTTCTAGACATTTATTCACTTATTACAGTGTAGATAGAAATCTATGTGCATATTTATAAGGCTGTTTTCATCAAAGCTACTGCTGCCACCTAAGCCACACGCAGCCGACACCAAATGGTCAGATTACTCTCATAGAAATCATACATTAAATGCATAGATAATCTGCAAACCTCATTTCAGACAGTGGTTTTAGTTTCTCCCCTCAGCGGATCTCTTATGAAAGCTGTTAACAGGTTGATTGAAATTTTCTATCCTCTCCACCCTCTGGTGGAAACACTAATAAGCAATGAAATGGCTAAAGCACAGTGCAGAGAGGATAAGCAAAGGCCCTGAAGACCCTCCAGCTTCATAATCACATCTTGAATAATCAGCAATTGATAGAAGGTCCACACACAAAGTGCTTTCTCCACACTCTGGAGTAAACCAAGCAAAGACTGTGAAACCTCAATGTTACGCATACACTTGTTCTGAAGTTGCTCGACAGGCTGCCTCAGGAGGTGAAATCAAAGTCTGATTTGCTATCACTGCCAGTCAGTTTTCTCTAGCAGTATTAGCTATCTTTAAGACATATTTCCATGGCAACTAGTTTAAAAACATATTTACCTATAGAGCCTTTTGTGTTATGAGAGCCTGAGTAACCTAAGCGGCCTTTCTTGTCATAGCTCTTTGCCACCAGGACAGTGACTCTGAAGCATGGGGATGAGTAGGACAGCACCTCATGTACAGGCAGTGTGGCATCTGGTGTCCTGGACTGGACCGGCCTTCAGGGTACTGGGGAAGCCAGCTTGTTAGATTTTGTTGAGTCATCATTTCTCTCCCTGGGGCCAGCCTCGTCTATCTCATTCCTAGGCTTTCTCAAACCCCATTCTGCTGCTGGAGTCCTACCCGCATTTCCAGGCTAATTTGTCCAGCCCTGCCTCTGAGGCCAATCAGAATGTGATTGTGTCATGCACATTTATGTTTATTGCAGAACTATTTACAATAGCAAAGACTTGGAACCAACCCAAATGTCCATCAATGACAGACTGGATAAAAAAAATATGACACATATGCACTGTGGAATACTATGCAGCCATAAAAAAGAACGAGTTCATGTCCTTTGCAGGGACATGGATGAAGTGGGAAGTCATCATTCTCAGCAGATTAACACAGGAACAGAAAACCAAACACCCCATGTTCTCACCCATAAATGGGAGTTGAACAATGAGAACATGTGGACACACAGAAGGGAACATCACATACCAGGGCCTGTTGGGGAGTGAGGAGCAAGAGGAGGGAGAGCATTAGGAAAAATACCTAATGCATGCAGGGCTTAAGACCTGGATGACGGGTTGATGGGTACAGTGAGCCACCATGGCACATGTATACCTATGTGACATGCCTGCGCATCCTGCATATATGTGTGTGTGTGTGTGTGTGTGTGTGTATAGAGAGAGAGAGAAAGAGAGAGAGAGAGAATATGATAATATGATTGTGTTATAGGTGAAGGACAAAATCTTCTTTGCTCCATTAAAAAAAATAAGGAGGAAGAAACACTCAGGTACCTTATATTTCAAAACTTGCCTTTTTGTAATTGCCATTTTAGCCTTGGGTTGAGACTTAATCCGGGGACATTGGCACTTCTGTATTGTTATCCTTTTATAAGAGAAATCATGAATTTTCTGTAGAGGTGACTACTAGGGCAAGACCAGCAATGACCCACCCTTATGGCCAACGTAGGACATTAACCCAGCTTTTGACCAGAGCTGGGTCCACATGTGGACTACTTTGACAGAGGTGCATATGATGTGGTGATTTGGCTGCAGCAATAGGGACCCCCCACCAAACTGTATCATCTTCACTACCACTGAGAGGCTGCAGATTCCTACTCCTTCAGTTTGATTTCACTTCTTATTTTGTTCCATTTCATTATCTTCTAAATGAGATGTGTATCTGCAAGCATCAAATCCTTTTGGAATTAAGGCAAGATAACTTCAAGATTCCAATTTCAAATGATGGATACACCAATTACAAGCATATTTTTTCTCTTTAAACAAGCTATTCTTATTAGTTTATCAAAAGAAGTTTCCTACAAACATTTAGTGAACACAGTTGATTATCTGGGTTCTAGTACTATGGTTCTAGTACTATGTACCCTTGGATAGTGGCAAACCAAGCTTAAGGCTAGACTGCGTCCACTGTCTCGATTGGGAACTATCTGGCTATGTGAGCTAGGCTGTTGGGGAGAGCCCACAAGCAGTTCGTTTACATGAATTGACTCTCTGGGGCTCTTAGTTGAAAGGCATGTACACGTGTACAGTGAGTGATGGGGAGAGGGAGGGCATAAGTTTTAGAATCTTGGCAGCCTCAGAGATTATTTGAAGATAGAACCAAATGGAGTTATTTTTGGCAGTGATTCTCTGAGGCTTTGAGCTCTTGTCTCATTAGATGACTCATTAGGTGACAATATGTGCGGAAGGGTAAGGAGAAAAGTCTTCCTTCTTCATGAAGCATCTTGTGACTTTACGTCTTTGCGGAGGGAAGAATGTGGAAGGTGGCTGCCATTGAGTGGTAGTCGGGATGCATGCATGAGCACATGGGTGCATGGGACTTATAGATTTGGGAATCCCAGAGAAAATCATGGGCAAAGGACAATGTGGGGACCAGACAGGGTACCTGGCAATGCAGAAGAGTGAGGCTTGAAGATTCAGCCAAATAGGGTTTATTGCAATAAAAGTGGCAGCATTTGTATTCATAAGCTGATACTGCCATGAAACATTTCAGCTATCTTTAAAAATAGTAAAACTAATTTTTAAAATATTTGAAAGGGGGATAATATGGTAGAAAGAACATAGGCTTTCAATCCGCACTGAATTCAAACTCTGTCTCTGCCAATTATTACCTGTATGACTTTGGGCACATTATGTAACGTGACAGATGCCACCCATTTACCAAAACCCATTTCATCTCCCTACTGAAAACCCAACTCCGTGATGTCTTCCAGCCACTCTGGCAGCCTAAAGTGTCCGTGTGCCTAAGCTCTGGCAAATGCCCTGTGGACAGAGTGATATAT